TAATAATAATAATAATAATAATAATAATAATAATAATAATAATAATAATAATAATAATAATAATAATAATAATAATAATAATATAATAATAATAATAATAATAATAATAATAATAATAATAATAATAATAATAATAATAATAATAATAATAATAATAATAATAATAATAATAATAATAATAATAATAATAATAATAATAATAATAATAATAATGTAGAGTGATTTTATGGAATAGAATAATTGTTGTTGAATTTGAAATCCATAGATATTGTTTCGCAGAAGAATTTCTTATATCTAACTTATCCCTTGAGAAATTCGTAAATCATTTATTAATTAATTCATAACACTTAACAGACACAAATTTGATGGTAGAATAATTCTCTTTTTTTCAGAAAAAAATCAAAATTATTTTTGAAAAAGATGAATTATTGGTAGTAAAACTTTGCATACGAATATTTTTGCATTTGATAGGGTATTAGGAATTGTTAGTAGTGAAAGTAATTTCGATCTCGTTGAATAATGTCATCCTACTACCCAACCATTGGTAGTGTTGTTGACCGAAAGCCAATAATCATCGGATTATTGCTTCATTCCCGTCAATGTGCGTCAGATAGCTTTGCACCATATATATTTCTTGCCCGGTCTTCCTTACTTGGCAAATTCTTCAGTCTTTCCTATTTTTATAGTCTTATTGATTTTTTTATTTCTTATTTTTCCCCCTCCCTGCCCTTCAATTTTGCCCGCTTTTCAAGCAATGAGGAAATTTTTGCTGACAAATCTTTCATCTTCTTTTCACAGCTTATTAAATTGATCATTTTCATCAACACAGTGTAAGAATTAGCTTGTTAAAGCATGACAATAAGTACGCTTGAGAAGTTTCTAAGCCAGAGTCTATGATGTCGATGATAGCCTAATTAATGATTAAAAGGATATTGAGGACCGGATGTGGCTAGCAAATAAGAATGAGATTATCCGGAAACTATATGCTTAATAATTGGATAGCCTTGATGTTTCCAGTTAAACTCCTATTAATTCTTCACTATCTTTGCAATTCCGATATATCGATGTAAACATTGATTAGAGCTACGAGTGAATAAATTGGCATATCGGATAAGTCGATAAATAAATAAAAGTATTTATATTGCATCATGTATATAAGCAAATAATTTAATTTTTCTTAATGCGGAAAAAGAAGTGGAATAAAAAGGTATGAATGTATTATTGTCTGTCCAAATAGATGTCTTTTTCTGAATGTTTGTATGTTAGCTAAGTAATTTAGGATGTTTACTACTTGTCAGATTTGATTACAAAGAAAGTAGAAGTTTGAGAAGGATTAATTTCAGTCATTTATGCGTGCTTATACAGAAAAAAAACCTAAAGAAAGTTTTCAAGTTAGGAAATAGCAAAATTCATGTATGCTGAAAATTATGAATTGTGAATTTATTCTATTTGTCCTCAACATTTTTTTTTCAACATTTCCCTTAAGCCTTCAAACATGTAGTTGAAGTAAATAAATTTTAAAATTGAATTTTTCCACGAATGATTCTGACCATTGTTATAAAATAAGCAAAGTTCTCCCACATTTGGTTTAAAATTTAGTCTTCTCACATTCCTTCTTCCTCCAGCATACATCATATTGTGGAATTAATGTAAGGGAACCAATCGGTTGTTAGCTTATCTTCAACTTGGAAAAGAACTAAGCAGTGCAGGTTATAATTCAAATGATAACATTGGGGAAAATTGATCATACTGATATCAATTTTGCCCAGCGTTATCACTTAGTCTGATTTTTGTGGCAAGTGGTAGATGCAAATATTTGTCATGATGATGAATTTCGATACCAAATAGCTGGAATTGGCTCTTTCTTCCAGGAATGTTTTGATGACTTCTCCGTGAAACGCTATTGCTTGAGGGATTTTGCTTTTCTTTCTTTGCGAACGATTTAAATAAAACGTGTTAGCGTAAGTTTATACTGTCGTCTGAGAGGAAATCCAGAAAAGCAAACAGTTTTAAATGGTCTAGCAAAATGCTGATAGTTACACTATGTAAAAGGACTGGAAAAAGATGGAAGCGTATGAATGAGAATGAGTGAAATGATGAAATGTTGTCATCCTTGGACGTTCAATGACTTTTCAACAGTAACCACTGAGAACATCCGTCGCAGATTCTTGACAAAATGTTGCAGCAGTAACAGCTTTGAAATTGGCGGCGTGAAAGGGAAGTATATCTGAACCGGAAAAAACCAACGAAAAGTATCAGCCAATCTCGTCACGTTTCATCATTTCATGAACCATAGCGCTCAAGCTTTTATACCATTTCAAAACACGCTAACGCAAGGAGATAAAATTCTATGTTACCATTTATTGGGTCCATTACAAGCAATTGTTGTTCCATATTGACCAGACAAGAAACATATCAAGAAGACTTAGAGGGTGGAATTCTGACGATTGTCGGATTAACTATGGCTAACAGGAATAATACGACCAAGCAAATATCAGAGCAGCCTAGTAATAACCACCATTTGCGCTTATTGGTTAATAACGGTACTGATAACGCTGATAACAATATGCCCAGCTCAGCTGACAATATTTTATACTTCCAAAAAACCCTAGCACGAAGTGTGGAATCATTGTATCCGGTCGGTACCAGTCATCTACAATCATCATCAATGCGACGTCTTTCGCACAACTTCAACCACGAAAGACGCCGATCCTTGCTGAGAACACGACCAACAACGGCGAAGATAATGGCCAAAGCAAGCCGTTGTACTTCAGGTAGCCCAAAACCGCTTCATCCTGCACAATTTGACCCTGTTAGAGGTCTGAATCTGATTAATCTATCAAATCTGTTAGTAGCAAACTTTTGATACTTTCTTATTATTTTGTCCTAATTAATTCAATTAGCAAATTGATAAATTCACATTCTAATCTCCTTAGATGATGTCCTTCGAAATTTGACATGTTCTATTAATTATTCTCTTCGTCTGGTCATTTTAGTTCAATTAAGATTCGGTCATTCTATTTTGTATGCTTATTATTTTCATTCGGTTCTTCATTATTCTTCAAAAAATGAAAAACAGAATCAATCACTGAATGCGATTCTAACTCTTTTTGCTTATTTCAGTAGCTGAAAGAAAACAACTTTATTATCTTAGCAGGATCGATAAAAATAAAATTTTATTAAATAAAATTCATCGAAAAACGAAAGCAATCCCACCTCTCAATTTCATTTCACATCATAAATTCATTTTCTTATTTAGATTTATCAATTCATATATTAGTTACTCTCAAATATACTTTTTAAAAATGCAACGTTTTGCACATCAAAGTTTAATGATTTCACTATCGAGAAAAAAATTTAACAGCGATATTACCAGGCGATGCATTCTTGAAGTTTCCATTCCAATTTAGTGATATTTATTAGATAGATATGGTGACAATACTGATTGTAAGATATCAAAATAATTTTACGCGAATTATTTCATTCATTCATTTAACATTTATTAAAAGCTTATAGATTTTTGCCAAAAAAAATGAAAAAAATAACAAAATTTTGTTTTAAATGTAAATTTTAGAATCAAATGCGAAAGAAAAAATTGAATTTTATATAATTTCATGGAGTATATTAGAAATTCATCTAACAGTGTCTTATTTTTTTTGCAGTCATTGGTTTTTTTTTTTTTTACTTCTATTGATTTCGGTTACTGCCTGCTTGCATATATTATCGTTAAACAATATTACTTTCAACAAATCTTCGCTTTTTTTCACAAATCCTTTTTTCTTTTCATGCTATCCTTTAAATTTAATCATATCGAATTCGTAAATTTTTGCTTTCATTCTCATTGTTTGTTCTTTTTTTTGCTATGAAAGAGACGACTTTATAAAATGATAAAGGTACATTCAATGAAATCAGCAAATAGTGACATACTTTGACAAACAATCAATTATCACAAATAAACAAACAAACAAATAAACGATTTCGTAAACAAATATTATAAATAAACAAACAAGTAATATCATAGATAAAGTTTTGTCTGAAAGACAAAGGAAGAATGGTGAAGAAGGGAAGATAAACATCATTACTAATTAGACAAATCATAAATTTGTCAAAATTTTAATTAACCTTAGCATACATCCAGCCTACTTCTTTAGCTATTTCTCAAATAGTAATAGCAATATTGCGATAATGACATATTAAATGTTTGTGATTACATCTACATTATGATAATGACAGATGACAGGAATAATTGTAGCAGTAAATCGCTATAAATGAGGTAATTACAGTTGTAATTTAACAAAACGGATGCTGAAGGATCTTTCGACTATTTGTAATTTAAAATATCTATTCCTTTTTTAGGTGATATTATTGTTTATATTTTTATATATTTCTAAGCTACAATTAAATTTTTAAGTTTTAATTTTTTTCACTAATATTTGTATTTCCAAACTTAAATTTAAATTTTGTCAGAATTCATTCAAAAAAAGAGCCCAAAATATGAGGTTATAAAATGAAATACATTAGAAATGGCAGATATAATAAAATCCCATATCCTAAAAATATTAACCATTTTTTAAGAAAAGGGTAAAAATGATAGCAGTGATGCATGCTATGATGATACTGCATGCACGATGGTACTGCATGCTATGATGATACTGCATGCACGATGATACTGCATGCTATGATGATATTGCATGCACGATGGTACCGCACAACCTTTTTTTCAAATATTATAAGGGAAAAAATTAAGAAAAAAAAAGGCGAAAACTTTAAGAGGGCTTAGGAACATGAAAATTTATAAAGGAATTGTGAAAGACCTCATTTTCCTCTTCAACGAATCGTTATCATTTAGACGGCGGCATCATGACATCTTCTTTAGTTTTAACCTTATCCCTCCTCCCTTCAAATGGCGTAAAAATGAAAAGTTCTACTTTTTATTTCCTTTCGTGCATTTAAAATAAATGCAAGTATCTCTCTTCTCTCTCCTCTCTCTCTCTCTCTCTCTCTCTCAAGTTCTTAATATTTTGAAATGCCTTTTCCCTTTTTGTCCTTTACAACATATATCTTGAAACCATTTTAGTCTGGTCACATTTGCTGCACATCCATTTTGCAGTTTGCAACCTTGATTGCTGGTTCGCTGGTTCCTTCCTTTTTTTCCTTTGGAATTTCTATTTAAGAATAATATGGAATTACGAAAGATTCCTCTCTTCTAAGGCATTTACAGAAGCGAAGTTTGCATGATTTGATACCACTGAATGAATTTCATGACACATCTCTCGTTGTTAGCTTATTCGTGTTAACTGCTCTGATTGAATGTGTGTCGACAATGTCAACATCTAAGCATGAATCTATGTCATCATTATCGGCGAATCCTACTGATAGCCATTTTGTTGATGAGAGAAGCGAATCATTAACTTCACTCAATATCAAAGCTGACCTTCCATTAAGTGACAGTAGCGATGAGACAGAAAATTCTGCTATGAAAATACTTGACAATCTGATCGAACAGGTACAATATAATTAGTTCCCATAATTTGTTTCTTAGCATTAACCTGAAATCAAATTTCCTTTAATAATTATATGGCTTTAACAGAAGGAATTGATAACGGTGATCTCTGCCTACTTATCTCTTCGAATTTTCTTCTTTAGTTGCCAAAAAGTCCATCAGTTATCACGAAAAAGAATCGAATGTCCGTTGTGAGCGACTTGAACTATGACCAGCCACATATCAACGTAGTAAAATTTGACGCAAATGTGCATCAACAAGCTGAAATTGAGGCAGAATACGATCGTAAGCTGATCCGGAATCTTTCATCACTTTTTATCCAATAAATCATACTCACAAAGACAAACTTTCCATCAAAAATTGTGATTGATGCAAAATCAATCGATATTGCTATTCTTCAATATTGGACTTTGTTAGAGAATAAACTGGAAATTTTCTCATGTTTCGATGATAAATTTCTTTTATATCGCTTCTCAGATGCTTATAATAATCATTATGCTTTATACATGAAATAACTTTTAATTACTCCGTAATTTCGGTAATTATTTCTTCCCGTTCGATATTTCTCTGCAAACTAAGTTGATACTAATTAGAATTCTTCTTTCCATACTCATATTTTTATTAAATAAATTAATTTGGAAGTGAAAGTCAGAATGTTCATTCTAAGCACGATATTTTTTGTTATTAAAATTTATTCTTAATCACAGTATATTAACTACTATTTTATGAATATATAAGAAATGAATATTGATAAAATTGTGCCAAATGAGTTTATCTTATCCTAATCAGAGAAGAAGCAGGACAAGGAATAGCATATCTAAATGGAATCAACATAGACGAAATCAACATTTTCAATTAATTCATTATCAAATTAAAAAGTATCAGTTATAATACGCTGTTATCAATAATATTACCTTAATTCCATTGATTTTAATTTTTATCTCAGTAGTAATTTAATTAGTATTGATGAAAGTATAAGGAATGAATTTTTCTTTACATTCTAGTTTTAACACTGACAATAATTAGAACAATAAAAGAGAATAAAGTTTGAGTAAAGTGCACTGTTATTGACGAAAAATTTGGACAACTTGTGATCATTACTTTGTTGGAAACAAATGGAAAATATGATTTTCTTTATAATTAAAATTGTTTAATTTGGTTAAAAGAATTTACGTTTTCCAACACTTTCTCTTCATCTTTTTCTCTTTTCTTCTTTTTTCCCTCATACCGCATAAATTAATTGTGCAAATTAATTAAATATAAGTCTAATACAAGCACAAGTGTAAATATAAATGTAAGTGTAAATGTAAATATAAATATAAATACAAATATAAATACAAATATAAATACAAATACAAATATTAATATAAATATGTAAAATATAAATATAGTATAAATATTAATGTAAATGTAGATGTAAATACAAGTATAAATATAAATTGATAAATTAATAAATAAATAGACAAATAAACGGATAAATAATAAATAAATAAAAACACATAATGAATAAATAAATGAATAAATAAATAAACAAATAAATACGTATATATATATATATATATATATATATGTTTATTTGTTCGTAAAGGTAAGCAAATTTTTCTTTTTTTACATATATTTGTTCATGAGTTCCATTCCTTAATTTTTTATGTTATTTAAAATTAAACGTTTTTGTTTTTACCTTTTATTTCAGCGAATATACAAACCGAATTAGGCTTTTGTGGTTGGATCCTAACGATACTATCTTACATATTGATCTTTTTCACATTACCAATTTCAGTATGCATGTGCGTCAAAGTGAGTTAATTATTTCATCAGTTTTGCAAGTTAATTATTTTATTGATTTTATTGTCTTTAATGTCAAACACGTTTAAATTTAAATATTTGTGCACCGATTAATTCATTATCATTTCGAACACAAACAGTGTATCGCTGTTTTAATTGCTCTACAAAAACACAGATGGAACTTGGCCTCTTTTCTGTAACTAAAAATATTAAATTTTATTAAAAAATGTTTGACCTTAACTCTCGTATTTAATCATTTTGTATTGATCTACTGGTAAACAACGTTACTGACGAAATTTAATTAAATAATTAACTTCCTAAAATCTTCACTTCAAACTAATACTGCAATCTAACAAATGCAAAAAGTGATCATGTGGGATGATAGCCATTAGCACACATTTTATGGCAAAACATTGAAAATATAAAAATATAAGGACAAGAAAAATATGGGCAAAGAAAGTATGGTCAGAAAGATAATTATCATCCTTTATCATTTTGATAACTAAGTCCATCCAAATATTTGTTTCAGGTTGTGCAGGAATATGAAAGGGTCGTGGTATTTCGACTAGGTCGCTTAATGCCTGGTGGTGCGAAAGGCCCCGGTTTGTTGTTCAATCCACTTTGATTTTTAGTGACATTTATAATGTAATCATTTGTTTATCAAATTTTGCAACTTTATAATTTGTCATAAAAAATTTGCCACTATTTAGGTATATGCTTTATTGTACCATGCATAGATACTTACCGTAAAATCGATCTACGTGTAATCTCATTCGAAGTGCCTCCTCAAGAGGTAAAACTTCCATTTTTTCATTTTTATATTCCATTTTATGACATTCCCAACAATACATTAAATTATGTCATATTGAAGTGTCTCAAAGTTGAACTTTACATGTAAATGTATAAATGGGAGAATGAATATTTACTTGTTACTTCTGTTAGTTCATTTTTTACCTGCTTATCAGGTATTTTAACTTACCATTACTATAACTGATTTGTTCATCTCTTTAACGATCAAAACTTTGTCATCTTTTATCAAATTCTAATTGGCATTTAGTCTTCAGACGACTTATTGCCAATTATTTACGACTTATTTATATTATATATCATTACTTGAGCTGTGTCCCTATTTTCCAAACGACTTTGGGCCTAAGAAAATTAGCCTATCTTTTAGATTCTTTCCAAGGATTCGGTAACCGTAGCTGTAGATGCAGTTGTATATTTTCGGATATCAAATGCTACTGTATCAGTTACTAATGTTGAAGACGCTGCGAGGTTTTTTGTTTCTTCTATAACTTCTTTTTTTGCCTTAAAATATTTCCTTAATTATTTTTTAAAAATTGTCTTCAAAAACAAATCGCAAATGAACCAATAGAATTAATAAGTAAAACGTATGAAAACAAATAAGTTTAGAATTCTTTTAGTGGATAATCCAATGGCGATTCGGAAAAGTGAATTTTACTTTTTTTTTTCGCTTGAATTTTCAAATACTAATGGTTTACAAAGGCAAACATCCTATACATTTACGAGAAATCATTACAAATACTTCGATGACATATTCTTAGATAATATGATAGCGTATAACTGATAAAGGAATCAATCAGTGAAAATGTTCATAAAATTCAGATCAACAAAGCTACTTGCGCAAACAACATTAAGAAATATTCTTGGAACGAAAACTTTAACCGAAATGCTTTCTGATCGAGAAGCTATTTCTTTACAAATGCAGGTAAGTTTGTTTTCAATTTTTGAAAGTAAAAACGTTGGGATGTGATAAGCGAACATATAACATATAAATGTAAAAAAGTAATAAATTTGAAGATTACAACTAAAATTTCAAATTTATTGATCCTTTAAAAAAGCATCGTTTAAATAAGGTCAAATTTAGTTTTCCCTCAAACAATATTCGTTGTGTTTATTTGCTACAATTTGAGTAAATACGTCAGCATATGTAGTGACTGTAAGTGAATCATAATAATTAAAATGGTATCAAATGAAAGTAAATCTTCAGATAACTCTTGATGAAGCTACAGAACCTTGGGGAGTGAAAGTGGAGAGAGTAGAAGTAAAAGATGTCCGACTCCCCATTCAACTTCAACGTGCTATGGCTGCAGAAGCTGAAGCAGCACGTGAAGCTCGAGCTAAGGTTATTTTTTTTCTTGAGTCATTTTTTAAACTTATAAATCTTCCTGAAAAGTTGATTAATATCAACCAGCTTAATTGTAATTAGATCGAGGTGAATAACTTCACAATTGATACTTTCTGAAATTAGTTATTATTACATGACGATATTAGGTGTGATAGCATGGCGCTTTTGGTTAGAAGACTAAACAAGTAGTATGATTTAATCTGACGTGAAAATATGCTGGAGTGTCACTACATGTTAGCGAAACACACATTTGATGAATTTAAATTATTTTTCTTTGCTTTCTACACAGGATTCAGTAAAAAATATTAGCTCATTTCTTTTTGTTTTCTACCGAAATTTCAGGTGATCGTTGCGGAAGGTGAACAGAAAGCATCACGAGCTCTTAAAGAGGCCGCTGAAGTAATCGCCCAATCACCATCTGCCTTGCAATTACGATATTTGCAAACTTTGAACTCAATAAGGTCAACATCAATTTTAATATTAGTTTAAATTTTTTTAGAGTAACTATAGAAATGAATTTTTGATCATATAAATATCACCCGCCACAAACAATAAATATTGATCGATAGGTAACATAAAATTTATAAACGTAAATAAATATGCTAATAAACAAATAAAAATGTGCTCATTTGCTTTTCATCTCATCGATTGAAAATTTTAAAAGATAAATAACTACTGTTACTCAAACAAATAAGATTAGTCACTTAAAATAACAGCAACAATGACAATAACAATAATAACAGCGACAACAATAACAACAAAACGACAACTGCTACTGCAGCTACAGTAACTGTTATCCTTGTTATGACGAGGAGACAGTTATAAGGATAGTGGTGGCATGTCGAAGACATATAAAACAGTGGGCCTCAAGAGGAAGAGGACAAATTTATAGAAATTAACTGAATTCTAATGTAAAAAAATTTAAACTATAAGCATGGCTTTAGAAGAACTAAAACATTTCCCAAATTCTATACTTGAAAAGAAAGTCGAAATTATATTTTATGTTAATTTTAGTAATTTGTCTTTACCATGAAATTTTATGGTATAACTTTTTCTGGACATCATATTTTATCTAGCAATCTATCGATTCATTAAAATTTATTTTAGTGCAGAGAAAAATTCGACAATAATCTTTCCGCTTCCCATTGATTTATTGTCATCATTTTTTCATCGTGCCGCTTCCAAGGTGTAAACTATTTTTAATCAAATTTAATTTTGCGTTGCAACACTTCGATTTTCACTCTCAAAAAAGTATGAACGAAATAATTTATTGAAGATTAAAGAATAATGTGCTTTCCAGTATATATACAGTATTTCATTTAAACACTGCATGATACCTAGCTAGACTGTTCGAATGGATGCAAAATCTTGCTAGATTAATCCAATGTCTTGCAGACTAGACTGTAGAATTAGACCTAGGATTAATCATATTAAAGTATAATGGAATGAACGCGTAAGCTACAAATAGATGATAAAAACGTTACTACCATTTATGGATATGCTAATTATAGGGTAGGTAGCAGGCCAATTAGTTTAGTGGCTGTTCCCATAAATTTCTTTTAAATGACAGAATCCTACAAAATTGACAAAATTAAATCAAATGATTAGAGTAGTTTAATATGATCAAAGAATGAAAAATCAATGACTCTTATGATTGATCTAGTTTAATTCAGTGTTATTAAAAAATTTGAAGTTTAATTAAAATTTCATTTCAGGATGACTAAAACACATTCCAGCTGACAATATTGCTATCAGAAACGAGCAATTTCCATATATCAGCACCACTTTACTATGTTCTCAGTGTTGTTGCTATCTTATCGTAGCAATGCAAAACAAACATTTCTTCTCTTTTTTTCTTTATTTTTTTGTTTGTTTATTTTTTGCATACATAATCTTTATTGTTAGAAAAGCTTTTATGAAAATATGAACAATTATACCCAATTATCTGAGTTTATAATCGATTAGCATGTGCACTAAAAGTAAGTTAGGAATAAATTTTATCATTTTTAAACTTATCTCCACACATTCTATTTTTTTATTTTTTTTTACACTTTTTTTTTCTATTTTTTATTTTACAACACTAATTTTGCTTACCATTTGGTTACAGGAGAAAGTTTGATCAATATTTGATAAACTGATAATTTTATTCGTGTAAATTAATGTAGTTAACATTTTGAGTTTTTTTTTTTTTTTGGTTTGACCCTTCCTCTCTCTCTCTCCCTCCGTCTCTCTCTCTTTGTGTAAAGAAATTCATTTAATTTTTCGATCGAATGAAAATATATATATACAAGAGAAAAGGTTTCCAAATGGCAATTTTTCCCTTTTGCTTATAAAACGCAATTTAAGCTTTGCCATCGAGGAAACGCTTATTATTACTGCTTGTAAAAAAAGTTTTTTTTTATTGCAAATTCTACATCTTACTAATAATGGTGATGATGATTTGGATTTATGAACTATTTTAAAAGCTGGAAAAAAAAATGTCGTTTTCATTTGGATATTTCGCTTGTTGCTTGTGAATCAATATGTGACATTTATTGGTATCTGTTGAATAAGCTTTCGTTTCATTTTTTAAAAAATTATTCTCAGCATAAGCTTATCATAAAGTTGCTTGTAAACAAATTTGAGGAAAACTTCCTCTTTTATGATTTCTTTATTTCATCTCTATATTCTATAGGTTCCTTCAAGCTCCGAAAGACCAATCTAAATTTCATGGTGCAAATTGGGATTCAGAGCAGAAGTTTCGATACTAACGCGCCCTATGTTGCATACATAAGTATCCGGATTGGGTACAAGGAATATTTCGCAATCCGGACGGTCACAGCGTCAAAACCGATCACTCAAACAATATCCTACGGCGAACGAAATTCGACGCTGAACAACAGCTTCAGCAGTGGTTGACCACCCTTACCGTCAGCAAAAGTATGTATTTAGTTGCTGGGATTAAATTCCTTTTACAATGATTTGTTTCATTTTCAAGTTTCAATTTGAATTTTGAGAGTTACAAATAAAATATTGAGTTACAAGTGAGAGTTACAAGTATTTTACAATATTGCGTTTGTAAACTATTTGGGGGTAGGGTTTGAGATATTTTCAAAAAAGCTAAAAGAAAGCTAAGACATTTTCCAGAACTGATTCCGATTCCTTAATTGAACTAAAACTGCAAAATATCCAGCTTAATCTTACTGGCTGGAACATAATTAAAGAGGTGCATAATTTCATCCACTTAGATTTTCATTTTTGATTTTCATTAGATTTTCATTTTTATCTTAGCTTTGGTCTCAACTATTTTGTCCTCATTTACACGGATTTGGATTAGTTTAAATACAAACTCTATTTCAGAAATTGCGAAGTATCATCTGAGTCAGAAAAGAGTTTAATGTCGCAAACAGCATCAGCGAAAGTTGGAATGAATTCGAATCAACTAGAAACTAAGTAAATTTGCATGCTTTAATTTCAAAGTTTCTAGACTACTATAAGTTAACCAGCCAGCAAATTCATTTTACAAATTTCCACAAAACGTTTTTTAGATGAGACAACCATCATTTTCACTGGTGCTACTGCTACCATTTCGCCAAATGTTCTGGAGCAGAAACACGAAGCTAAGAAGTCAGTGAACTGATGGAGAATATAAGAGACGAAATGTTCCACCATCTCCGCTTCTCAACTGGGCAATATTAATCGGATGCATGCAAATACTTCACAAAAACAGCAGAAGGTGGCATCTTTGTGTCGTAGTATGTCGCTGCAATGTGCCACTGGAAGGAATGCATTGACGTTGAGAACGGTGCAATCATATTACCTAGACAAGAAAGACCGAAGTAATGAGTGACATCGCTGCCGAAGCAATATGACAAAAAGCGCAAAAGATGGCGGAATATCACGATGGGAAGGTTTGCTGGAATCGTCACAAGAAATAATATCGAAAGCAGTAAGATTCGAAAAGGGAAAGATGTGACATTAAACAGTACACGAAGATTAAGTGAACCTGTATCATTTTTATCTATTGATGGTGTAAGCGTAGGTACATGTGATATTTCCATATCCTTACCAAAATGGCCATCGATCGAGTCTTTGATATGCGAAGATGGCATTATGGACAATGAAGTAATCAGTCATAATTTCATCAAGGAGAAAATGATTCTCCATCAAGTGAATCCAATAGCAGAATTTTCAATCAAAGTGTCACATTTGTAGCCCACTTGATGGTGATTGCAACTGAAGGAGGAGCAAACTACACGGATTTCCGTAGGTTGGCAATCAGTAATGATGATGATAAACACGAAGAATTTAGTAAAGAGAGTGAAAACGTCGTTTCCACTTGACGGCGACAGTTACACAACGAACAGATATTTTGTTACACAACGAACAAAATATCTGTAACATAGAAAATAATATTTTAAAGGACGAAAATCGGAAATTTATGAAACAGATGTTGACAATAGATGCTACGAGTCTCCGCACTTTCAGAAGACGACCAGATACTGGATTCAGTATCATTTCTAGAAAACCTTTGTTATTATATATTAGAGAATAAAGCAAAAGATTCTGATAAATTATCTGTAAGAGATTCTGCGATCACTCAAATAACGATTATGTTGACTTCATGCAAGAAGATTCAGAAGGATTTGAAACTAATTTGGATAAGAAACAAATAACATTTTGGGCCAGTTATGATGATGTGAAATTTGCATCAGATAATACACTATTTTCCAAATCCTAATTCGGTTTAGTTATATCAAATAACGCTGAAGAACTTCAGAATTATTTTCTTGAAATACCTCTTGAAAGATCGAATTTCGGTGTTGAACAGTATCTCACCGTTCTTGCTCCATCCAGCTTGCAGGATTTGAAATTAATCACTTCTCAGGAATCCGCCTCCCCAATTACCTCGATTGATTCTGAACAACTTGTTCACAAAATTCTTATTTCTAATTTAATTGTTCACGGTTATTTTTTTGTCGAGTTTTCAGAAAATTAAAATGAAAAGGATTATTCAATCCAATCTTTTTCAAAACTTTCATTTCACCTGAAATAAATTTCGGAATTTGACTACTTTTCTTACGTCCCAATTATCAATTTCAGCTTAGAACGTTTCTTTCGGAACGACAATTTCCGGAGAGCAGAATAACACAAGCACTATTTGTTTCGTCTTGGGCTAATTCCGCTTCCGAAAATATTTCCACGAGCACATGCTTGATCGATGGTCACAAGCAATGGTGCTTTTTTCTGTTCTTCGTCCTATTTACCAGTAAAATGTTACTGCTAGAAATACCGTTTTCTTTTTTTCTTCTAAAAAAAATTACCTGAATAATTGTTAACGGATTAATCACTCACTGCTATAATTTGCATTGCACTGTTTAAGCAAATGTAAAGTTAAAAAAGATTTATATGAATAAACTATCCTTTCCAATTTAAAAATTTATAAAATACTTGATCACTTATTGTATGCATTGGCTGTATAATTAATGTAAAATAAATTAATAAATCTTTGACATGGAAATTTCCACTAAATCTTATCAAATGCAAATTGTGTCATCACAATTAGAACAAATAACAAAGTGTCAACCATAACAGGTTGAATTGTTTCAAAAAAATTCATTCAGTGACTCGCTTCTTCGTTATCCAACTTTACTTTCTATCACTTCATATTTCCTTTTTCTGTTTCATTTCTACTTTTTTTTCTAATTCTCTTTCGTTCTTTTTTCAAAGAATTCCTTGTTTTTCCTGGCTTTTCAATAACGCAAACCAATCGGATGAATTGCATCCCATTTGCTGCATTTCTGCCGCGTTTTTAAGCATTTTTTGAATTTTTTTAATTTTGAACAGAAATTAAACTTTTTTGTCAAAAGAGTTGTGAAAGTTTAAAATTGAAAAAGTGAACCATAATTTGCATATTATAAATTTGTTGTACTAAATTAGTGTTACTTAATGGGATAGATTACTTCTGCTCTATTTGAACATTATTTTATTGGTTTCAAATCAAATCAAACTATGCGTGCAACAGTAAGTACTTCAAAAATTTCCTAAACCAACAATAATTTGATGCTGTCGCATATATGGAATATGTTTCCAAAAATTCATTTGATAAATAAAACTGGTCGGATTTAATTTGTTGAATGTTCATTTAATTCAGCAACCAACCATTCACACTTCCATTTCCTATCTCAACTGATTTATATATTTATATAATCAACAACTCAACTTTTATTTTCCATTAATTTTCTAAGATTTGATTAGATTTTTTGTAATTTTTCTTATCCACACAGAATTAAGAATTCAAAATCTAAAATTTTTTGTAGTCTTATTTATGGAATATACTCTAAAAATCCATTTAATGCATAGATTTGATCTAATTTGTTATTAATTTGTCTAAAATTTAATTAATTATTCTGTTAATTTTAACAAAAAATTTGCTTTTATTTATCCACACTCTTCATTTCGGGATATTTCAATACTTTGTTTAACTGCTATTTATTTGTGTGAAAATTTTAATTATTTAATTTAATAAAATTAATTTATGAAATCTGCAAATAAAAATTTTTTACAGTCTGATATCCTCATGTATTCACCTAAATTGCGCGACATTTTTTAATATTCCCTGTGAAACGATGGGATGGAAACCCGATTTCATCGGTATTTGTATGCATAGAAGCTTACTGATACTACGAGAAGGTCGAAAATTATTTTCTATTGTGCAATAACATTTCATAATATTTAATAGCAAATTTTTTAAATTAAATGATTGAAAGAAAAAAATATCACAAATTGTTAACAGCGTACTGTACTAACAAAAACATCTGGTTAGTCAAAAAAAGGAAATTTTATGGAAAAAATTTATTACCCAAATTTGATGCCCACTTTTCTTTTTTATTTTCCACACATTATTATCGTCGAAAAAAAAAACTGCCATTTTATTTGATGGGAAATTTCATTTTTTTTTTTAGGCAGTATATGACAAAGTCGCTTTGGATGGTGGTTGATAATGGCTAGAATTAGAAAAGTTTCGTTTTGCTTGACCTTGTCCCATCCATTCTTGCTACTATTCCTCCCTTTCCCATTTCCAGAGCCACTTAGCAAACATTCCTTTTCAATTTTTCGTTTTTTTTTATTTAACACGTAGTTTCAAAAACATTTACTCTTATATATATATATATATTTTTTTTTTTGGGCGGTTAATTACAAATTAAAAATTGCAAAATCAATTTCTATCTCTTTTATTATCAGAAAATAATTTTATCTCTTTAAATTGATGGAAAGATTGAAATCTGCTGAAAATTCCGTGAAGTTTTTTCTTTTTTCTTTCGGTTATTAAGGAATATTATTCTGTGATCACTGATTAAAATTAAAGCTTTTTAAGCGTGTATGTGTTCGTTTGGAATTAGGGCAATTACATCAATGGATTTCACTTATGTTCCTCATTTTCTCTTATATATTTTTGAAGGTGTAATTTTCCAACTAATATAGTCAAGACTGAACAATATGACCATCAGACTTTTTGATAAGTTGACAATTTTTGAAATAAATGTAACCAAAAACGAACATTCAGATTTAATCATTCATATTCATTGTTAATATATGCAGCATACCTTCGACTGATAGCACACTTTACAATACCGGATGAGCTAGTTATGTACTTATTGCCGGCCTTTGACGGAAAAGTGCATACATGAACCGGTTTGCTAAATTGGCCAATTGGGGTATTATTAACTTTCGAAGGTCACTATATTGCATGTAGATTCGACCGCTCCCTAACTCCATCCAGCAATGAATCATGAATTCAGATTGAATTTTTAAAATGAATTTGAATTTTCCACTTTTTGTTTTCACTTGATAAATTTCTGAGGTATTCAGTGCATATTATTTTCACTTATGATTCGATCAATGAATAAACAATTTGAAAAAGTATCCATTGCTTCGAATTTTACATTTTATTTAAATTCAAGAGAAATGTGAAGCTATTTCTGTCCAGAGAGAAACTTTTACCTTGTCTTTACTTTTTTTTCTTTTTTTCTGCTGAAGTAATTTGCATAAATATATGAAAACATAAAGTATTCAAGAAATAATTTTTTAATGACATTTTAAAGGAAATAATATTGCGTTGTCAAGTTGAATTAAGAGGGGCATTGATGCATCAGTCATTAACTGTTTTCAGAATCCATCGTCATACATTCCACACTTTTTAAATTAGCAAATATGTAATAGCTATTAAATAGAAACTGACCACAGAATAGGTGACACACAAAAGAATTTCATCGATCATTAAATTATGATATGAATTACTATTCTTAGTTGACTGATACCAATGATAGATAATTTGAACTTGAAAAATTGCGAAAAAATTATAGTTTTTTTTTTTTAATTCAACCGGCAGCTTTCACATTTGAAAAAATAGCTTTTTGACAAAATTTGAAAAACGGGAAAAAAAGCTGGAGCTGTACATATGAAATATTGCCAGCAAATGGAAGAAATTTTTCTCTTTTTTTTCATTTTCAACATTCCCACTAATATGCTTTTGCTCTCTATGTATTTTCAGAAGACAAAAACACTATTAATTAGAATTCCCATTAATTACAATGTTCATTCATTGGAATTTCTTATCATTTGATGAAGAGCAAAGGAAAAAAAACAGTTTTTCATTCAATCTTTTGCAGCAAATTGACTGAATAGAAGATAAACAATTATTACTGAATAGTTTTATCAATGATAAAAGTTTCTACTCGTATAAGAAGTATCCATGACAGAATTTTCAACACAAATCCTGTTTTTTTTTTTGGAATTTTTTCAGACATATAACATTTACATGTAATTACACATAAGCATGAAAATATTAATTATCGATTATCAGTTATTGTTTAAATATTATTCTAAAATTTATATGTTTAACGAACTACTCATTTGTACCTTTTGACCTTCTTATATCTTACAGTATTCCCTATATGTTAAAACCATTGCAACATCTCATTTTTTCGTTCTGTTAGACTGATTTGGATCAAAGACAAAAAAAGGAATTGATTGATAAAATTAATACTAAGTGGAAATGTCAATAGTTACAGTATTGTGTCCATTAGTAAAAATATTTTATCCTTCCTTTCTTTCGTCTTTTTTTTGGCTCATTTTTATGTAAAAAATCAATGGATGATATTGAATTACAGTTATTGAAGGACCGGTTCCTTGCCTAATTACTCATTCCGAT